TGAAAAAAGCCTCAAGCCCATTAATGAACATAAACGTACACACACAATAACGTGTAGAGTATTATTCAATAACTATAAACTACATTTACTAAGGTGAAAAAAACATAGGAAATAAACACATATGTTAATGCACATGTAGTTCTCGACTTTCTGAGTTGTTTTCCGACAGGCATCTTCTCTAAGGATCTCTCTGAAACGATCACAAAAGGGTCTTATTCAAACTAGCCTGAGTATGAATAGATTTCAGTTGAACTTTCGCCCGGTAAAGCAAGAGCGAATCCACGACCGACGCGCTGGCACTTGAGTCCCACAATCGCTGCTATTTCTGTTTCAAAGGCCTTCGTGCACCACCGGCGAGACGATAACTTCCACGAATCCCCATGGCGTCGTATTTGCGATCGTCTGGCAAATATAGGACTTCACCTTGACAAACTCATGTCGCCACTTTGATGTACGTCCAGCTCGGAGCTTGGCACCGCCGCACGGTTTCAAATTTCTGGCTCAGCAATCATTGGCTTCTTAAAACTACCTAAGTGCAGTATTTATATCATATTTTGCAAGTCAGAGGCAATAAAAGAAGTAAACATATTTTTTATTATAAAGGAATAATATCGTATTCAATATATAGTCTCCTTGAGTGCAATACAAATTATTTAGCTTTATAGTTTAGCACCAAGGGCAATATGACGATCCATGACTAACGCTTATGGTGATTTCATCCAATTCACTATACTTCAATTATCGCAATAGTCACGTGTATACAGAAGTAAAACACTTTCGAAGTCCCCTGCGTACACCCTGTGCCTCAGAGAACTTTAATTTGTATGGAGATTCATGGTGGCCTAGTACGGAGGCCAAATTAGAAAGTCCTATTGGAGCATAGGACGAGTTCGACCTAACCCAAACAGGAGGTCTAGAACAACAGCCAAGCCGCTGAGAAACTTCTGAGACCTTCGTGGGTTGTCTGGCAAATCTCAACAGAAGCTTGACCTAAGAAACGAGAGTGAAGGCCTAACAGTGGTCGCTCGATGAATGTGGGCATCTGTTCTCACGGGAAGGAGAACCATAAGTGTTGCATGACAGAGCTTCAGCTTCCTTCGGGTTAGGCCGCCATTCATCGGAGCCACTAACTTTGACACTCGTTAACCAAAGCCTTATGGAGGGGTATCTGATGGGAGGTAATGCCGCTTGAGAATTGTATAACCTTTTAAGTAACAGACATATAGCACGCCATAATAAAATGGAACGCCTATTTTTATAATGCTGCCGAGTTTTGATTTAACATTCGGACTCACATCACAATGCGACAATTCTTCTAACACTTGACATCGTTTATTATAATCAGATTAATATACTTTTTTATATATATTTTTTTGTGTTCCAATACTCTTTTTCATACAAACAGTAATCAGATTGAATGACGATGTCGTGACATAAATACTGGATCTAAGCACATAATACGGATAATTATCATTGTCATTAGGTCTTTAGCCATTCTATAGATTGACACTTGACAAGGTTTTATCTGTAGAGCATCGGGGACTAAGTATTATTCAGCTGACAACAGGGAAATGCATTTTATGAGAAGGGATCTAATCTTCTGGGCCTTCATCACATGTACTAGCTTTACTGCTTTACATGAACAGACATTTCTTACACAAGCCTAATGTGATGCCATTGAAGAGACTCACTGTTCTCCGATTCAATATAGAGAACAGAACGCTATATAAGGCATATAAGGCAAGAAATCATTATGTAAAATATTTTTTGTATTTTTAAACGTTTTCACAATTTTATCATGAATAAGCATCATTTTGTATCTACTTATATAATTGCCTTATTCTGTCTGTGTGAAGTTCACTGTGTGAAGTTCACGGATAGATTTTGGTCACCTGTCAAGTTACGGTAAGTAGAAATTTAAAAATTAAAAAAAAAGATGCCGAAACCCGGGATCGAAACAGGGACCTTTAGATATTCAGTCTAACGCTCTAAAGCTATTTCGGCTTATTTAACATATACAAAACATATTTTAACAGTATATAAAGTAGAATCTGGAAAAACTCTTAGTGAAAATTTCAGGTCTCTATCCCGAATATCCTTCGTGTTATTTGCAAATTTGCTCTTTCGCTCGCGCCTCTAGCGGTGAAAATGAGGGGTAATACCAGCTGACCTAATGTACATGTAAAGTTTGGAGCGGGACGTTTCACAAGAGTGACATCCACGGCTCCAATTTATAATTGTAACGAATAGTATTTGAATAAAGCATTTAATCGGGTAAAAGCCGGGCGTTGCCCGGGTCATTCGGCTAGTTAGATAATAAAAGAGCTGGATTAAAGAACCTTATATACTGCCTTTAATTCAACAGAACATTTCTGGGATGTCTTTGTGATAAAGAGAGTTGCTCCAATTTTCTTTTATAATTATTTCTCAGTATCAGGAATTCTCTTGAAATATTCTCTTCATTGCTTGTAAATGTAATTTATAAAACTAAATATTTTATGTGACAACTTGAATAAATGGAAAATAGAATTAGTGTATTTCTGATATTTTATCTCTAGGAGCAGCATTTTGGAGCTATTAAATAATTTTGATTGGTTCTTTTTTTCTCAAAACTTGTTTTTAAGCCGATTAAGCACCCTATTAACACTTGGCATAAATGAACTAAAAAAATACCGGGTAAAACCATATCCATTCGCGGTTAGTAATATAAGTGAATATAATAATATTACTATATACGAGATCTGTTAGAAAAGTATCCGACCTTCGGGCGTGAAAAAAAAAAAAACAAAAACAGGCATACCTGTGGAACGCTGGAAACCTAATCATCCTCAAAGTAGTCTCCTTGGGGCTCCACACACTTCTCCCAGCCATTTTTGTAAACATTCCGAGAAAGCCTCTTTTGGAATGGTGTTTAGTTCGGTTGTCGTTACAGTCATAATGTCCTCTCTTGTCTGAAATCGCTCTCCCTTCAATGGCCTCTTGAGTTTGGACTACAATCAGAAGTTGCAGGGAGCTATATAAGAGAAATCAGGAACCTTACAAAACACAGAAATTATGATTTTTTAAAGTCTAATTCAAGTGCGAGGAATGTGCTGGAGCATTGTCGTGATGGAGGCGCCATTTGTCTTTTGATCACAACTCCGATATTTTGCGTTGCACAGCATCACGTAGGCGACGGAGCACATCCCTGTAGTACTCTTTGATGATTGACCCCGTAATGCGTACTCGTGGTGTGCCACACCGCGGGAGTAAAAAAAAAAAAGCCGTCAGCACCACTTAGAAGTCGCTATAAACTATCAAGCATTTTGGTTTTAGTGACGTGTAATGCTTCCACCGTGACTCCCATAGCATCGCCACCGAAAGACGTCTGAATCTTCCGAACGATTTCCCCCTGGCTGTCGCTAATTTCTGGCAAAATCTGATGCAGTAACGCTGCGTCAGTCGTTCTGTCATTTTCCTTTCAATGAAAATCCAACGCGAGCACTAAACATTACCTCACTCAAATTCTGCTTGACATCAACTTGACATGCGGGATAAATTCACGCATTCTTATGAAGGATTAAGGTCGCCTGATGCAAGCGCGCTTCATATAAATCCAGGTTTTCGCGCAAAAAAATAAGGTCGGATACTTTTATTTCAGACCTCTTATATATAAATATATCAATAAATTTGTTTGCGTGTTCAGACTTTATTTCTCTACTACTTGTAGACATACAAAAAATTCGTTATTCAACAAGGTCTACGACTTTTCCTTTAAAATTTTGCGATGCATTTTTTACGGGTGGCTTACTCTATAATATTTATTCGAATGTCGATATACAAAACATAATTTGCGTCCAAGCAATTTCAATAAGGAACAAGATAGTGGCGCGTGGTTATTGGCTAATTAGGGGTAGCTATTATCAGTTAAAGAGCCAAATTAAAAAAAAAGCCAAATGATACAATTGGTCATCTACAAACGGCAACCGGATATGTAAAACCGAGACAAATCCTTTTGTTAATACGCGTGAATTCACGGCTTAAATATGACTTTGATTAATAAGTTGACTAACTTAGAATATAACTCTTTCTTGGGGTTAATTCACGTGGTAAAAAGCCAGAAGTTATATCCTTGGTTAATATTGGTGTGAAGAGATGCCCCAAGATTATAGCTCTACTATTAGGAATACTTGTGTAAAGAGAGAAACCAAATAATATTGTAGCGTAGAAATCAAGTCTTTGTATATCTGAAAGTGTGAAAGTATTTATTGATGACGTCACGGCGACTAGTCGACAATTATTAACAAATTAGCCAAACTATCTACAGCTAGAGAATATCGAGTAAGCAAGCTAGGTAACTAAATGATGATTTAGAAAATGTAAAATTTTAAATCTGTTTCCAAATATTTTCATTGAATAATTAAATTAAATTATTTATTCGCCACAATATAGATATCGCTCTTTGGTAATAAGTGTTTGCAGAGAAACTAGAGTCTCTATTATTTATATTATCCCTGCCCAGAAGTCCAACCCCTCCTCTACGTGGCGGGCGGGAGAAGCAGCACTAGTAAGTGACTGCCCTGTAGGGTGAAGTACAGTGAGCTCTTCGTGAGCCCCGAGCCGCTACGGTAACCGTGAACAGGGAACTCTGAAATGCGGCTGACTAACGGGGCAATGGCACCCCCCCCCCCCCCTTTTCCATGGAGTGGACAAGACACCACCCCACCAACATTTATATTATCACGAAGATATTTGAAAAAACTTAAAGATGTGACACGGCAATTCATTAAGGCATGGACAAATTGAGATTTATGAAATTCCTGAGAGGCAATTAGGCAAATCGACAGAGTACCAAACTATAAATATATAAATTATAATCTGCGTTAATATATAAAATAATAATTTAATTAAAAAGGCATATATTGTATCAAAAAGTAATTTATAAATTAATAAATAATAATATAATTAATAAATTATTTTTTATTCCAATATATGCCTTTTTTAACTAAAGATTTATCTATGGATTGCTCTATTTTCAAAATAAAATAATACATAATTTTGCTACAATATTTGTATGGAGAAATATTGATTTAAAGTAGAATAGTATTAATAATTTTAAAATTGTTTTTACAAATGAAAGGTTAATAATAATAAAGAGAAAGAATATCATGAAATATCTTCAATTTTTTCAATAACTTTCTCCAGCTAGAAGTACGCCTTTTTTCATTTAATAATATTTTTAAAATTTTTATATATAAATTTATTTTCTATTTTTAAATCATTCTTATAAAAACAATAATTAAATGAAATAAAACGAGACCGAAGAGGAGTTTCTTATATTTAATATTCGCGAGCTTTCGGACCGTGAGTAGAAGGACGTCACGGTCCGAAAGCTCGCGAATATTAAATATAAGAAACTCCTCTTCGGTCTCGTTTTATTTCATTTAAGTATCTATATTGAAGAGTTGATTTTGTCGAAAAACAATAATGTTTGTTATGAATAGTGCTTGAGTGAAGAAATGTTCAGAAAATTAAAAAAAGTAATAACACAACAGAATTTATTTTTTTTAATCGAAGGTATTAATAAAATAATTTGGATTGAAATGATAATCCAAATGTAAAAAGATCTGATTGAAATATGTATACAAAGCTTTACGCTTCGCTATGAACATTAATACTAGATAAAACACGATGATATTCTTATACAATTAGCGTATTGAGCATATAAACATATGCTTTTCTATTGGGCATATCGTTACATTAATGTTCTAATATATTATGATGTTTATGGTGCTGTTAATCTAGTATTATCTCTAGTCTCGTTAACTATTAAATAAAGGAATTATTGTTAATGGAATTTGGATTATCTAATTCTTTCTATTTGATATGTAATTTAATGAGATAAATAAATTGTGGAATCTTTTTTGAGATTTTAATTTCGTGTGTTAAATTAAAAGTATATTTTTTGAAGGGGGCGAAGGCTAATTAAAGGGTCTTTTTAACCAAATATTCCCATTTCAGATTAATTGAAACGAAAATAAGTTAACAGATAAATGAATCATTTGAAAAACTTCTATAAAAATATATATATCTTTTTTAATAAAAAAGGCATATATTGGATCAAAATATCGTTTATTTTACCAATATTTCAGTTGGCTGAACGCCAAACCTTTCCAAGGTATTATACTAATGTGTGTCAACAACAAACTCAGCGCCACATAACGTCAATAGAATTAAGTTTTAAAAAATATTTTTTTCTCAAATTCAATGGGGAGAAAATTTTGATATATACGTATATTTATATTATGAATAAAATAAAATAGGCGTTATTGTTAATATTCAAAATATTCACACCCTTATTTTACAAAATGTATTTTGTCCATAATATAAATATATATATACGTATATCACGTATACTTGTATATCAAATTGAGGTTATGTGATGCTGAGTTTGTTGTTCGGCATTCAACAAACTGAAATATTGGTAAAATAAATGATATTTTGATCCAATATATGCCTTTTTAATTAAAGATTTATTTATGGATTGCTCTATTTAAATAATAATAATAATATATATAAGGTATATCCTGACAACTAACATGAGCGGTTTTAAATGGCAGAGCGCCATCTAGTGGAACAGAAATCAATTAAACGTAAATTTACCCTGTCCTTGATATTTGGCCAACCCATTTTCTTGATAGATCAAGAAAAGCCAACCACGAACGCTTTTCGGGCTTTTGGCCCTCGTCAGCGTGGTGCAGGATGTACCTTTGCGACCAAAAATCTTTTGGTCCCAGAGGAATCTTGAGAAATCAATAAATGGGTATTTAAGGCCGAACTTGCGTAAATACGCCTAAAAAGGGCAGAAATAATAATAATAATAAATA